GACGCTCCTGCGTAGCCTCCCCCCAGTAGCACCCTTCGGCAATTACCCTTCCGCAATCAATTCCTCCTCCTTCTCCTCCTTTTCCTCATCTTCTTCCTCCTCCTCCTCCTCCTCCTCCTCAAGCAAACAAGCCCTTCGAGGGGCAAAACCAAACCCTCCGAGGCGAACCCTCAGAGAGGGTAATACAAACCTTCCGAGGGCCTAAAACACGCCCCCCGATCGTCTAAACCAAGCCCTCCGCGGGGTTATAATTGGCCCGCCCCCCCCCCCCCCCCCTCTAGGGGGTTAACACAACCTCCTCCGAAGGGCTACAACAAGCCCCCGGGGGGCTAATCCGCCCTCCCGACGGGCATAAACAAACCCTCCGATGGGGCTAAGACAAGACCTCCGAGGGGCTCAACCAAACCCTCCGAGGGGCGAAACCACATTTTCCGATGGGGCAACCGAGCCCCCCAAGAGGCTAAAGCAAACCCTCCGAGAAATTGAAACAAACCCTCCAAGGTGCTACAGCAACGCCTCCGGAAGAGGCCCCCCCCCTCCTACCGGCGGGCTTAAAACAAACCCTCCAGGGGGCTGGAACCAACCCTCCGAGGTGCTAATCCCCCCCCCCCGACGGGCTGCCTGCCGAGGGGCTACCCCCCCCCGAGAGCCTAAACCGAACCCTCAGGGAGACCAGAACAATCCCTGAGAAACGCAAGCACAAACTCTCCGAGGAGCTGGACCAAACCCTGCGAAGGGCCAAATGACAAGCCCTCTGAAGGGCAAGCACAAACCCTCGGAGGTTCTGAACCAGAGTCTTCCGAGGGGCTAAGCCAAATCCTGCGAAGAGCTGAAACAAACCCTCCAGATGGACTAATCGAAACCTTCCTGGGAGCTAATTTAAACCATCAGAAGGGCTCGAACAAACGCTCCGAGGCGCTGAAACAAACTCTCCGAGAGGTTTCCCCGGGGGGCTGAAACAGAACCTCCGAAGGGGCTAAAAGAACCCCTCCGAGAAACTAAAATAACCCCCCTGAACACCCCCCTGAGGGGCTAAAACAAACCCTCCGAGAGGCAACACCAGAACCCTCAGCGGAGTTACACCAAACCCACCGTTAGTGCCAAGCAAACACCGACAGCTACAATCCCTCCGAGGAGCCAAAGAAAAACCAGAGGGGTTGAATAACAACGAGAGGCTAAAACAAACCTTCCTAGGAGCTAAGACAAACCCTCCGAAGGGCTAAACAAAACCCTCGGAGGGGCTAAAACAAACTCTCCGAGAGGCTAAAACAAACTCTCCGAGGAACTACAACAAACCTTCCGAAAGGCTAAAACAACATCTCTGGGGAGCTAAAACACACCCTCCGAGGAACTGAAACAAGCACTCCGAAAGGGCAATCACAAACCCTCTGGGGGGCTAACTCAAACCCTCCGAGAGGTAAAACAACAATAACGACGGACTAAACCAGACCCTCTGAAGAGCCTAACCCCCCGAGGGAACTGAAACATAATTCCTGCGATTGGCTAGAACAAGCCCTCCGATGGGGCTAAAACAAACCATCCGAAAAAGCTAGCACAAACACTTCATGGGAGCTACGGCAAATCCTCCGAGGCGCTGAAACAAACCCTCCGGAGAGGGAAAAAAACACCCTCCAGGGGGCTCAAACAAATCGTCCGAGAAGCTAAAGTAAACCCTCCGAGGGGCTAACGCAAACCCTCGCACAGACACCCTGGGAGGCTACAACAAATCCTCCGAGGGGGTTACGTTAAGCCCTCCGAGGGACGAAAATGAACCCTCCGAAAGGCGAAAATAAACCCTCCGATGGGCTTAAACAAAACCTCCGAAGAACTAAACCAAACCCTCCGAGCGGCCAGACCAAACCATCCGGGAGGCTAAACCAAACCCTCTGGGGGGTTTCAAGTAAACCCGCAGGAAGGCCTCCGAAGGGCTGCACCGAAAACTAAGCGACGACCCCCGAAAGCCCGAGGAGCCACTCACGGAAACCAGAAAACGGACCATCCCAGGAAACGAAGAAGCGCCCCCCTGGAACCCCACCGCGCCTCCTCCTCCTCCTCCTCCTCCTCCTTCTCCTCATCGCCATCAACATCCCAGTGAGCCCCAATGAGACCCAAGAGGCGACGTTGGGGCTTCTCAGACAACTGAAATCGACAACCTCCCCTCCTTCTATCAATGCCCTGAGGCAGTAGCACCAGCGACAACAGTAGCAGCAGCAGCACCAACAGCAGCAGCAGCAGCAGCAGCAGCAGCAGCAGCAGCAGCAGCAGCAACACCGCGCGCAGCCATCTCAGGCGCACGGCGGACACAAGCGCGCAAAAGCTCAAGCCCAGACGCCCTGCAAAGCCACTGACCCATTCAACACCCCACCCTATACATCCTCTCTATCTCCGTTCTCGCATTTCTCCCGTACCGCCTCAGCCTCCTCCTCTACCCATCCCTCTGGTACCCACCCCCACGCCTACACCACATCCCACATTCCCAATTTCTCAAAATTCCTGGGTTATGTTTTTCAATTTCCGTGTTTACCGCTTTCGATTTCTGGTTTGCTACATCTCCGGGCTTGCCATTGACCTTACGCTTTTGAGCAAGCTTCTTTCCAAGTTCGAACTCCCAATTTTCCAGTTCCAGCTTGAACCTCCTGCGTTGACGTTGTCACGCGCACATTCTTTTTCGCGAAGCCTTGTAAACGGTCAATAGGCTGGACAGGGCTGGCGTGTAGTGAGATGGTCACAGCTGCGCTGATATTGGCTGACCTGATCTAGGTTGACCTGAGCTGGGCGTAGATGTGTTGATCTAGGCAGAGCTGGGCTGAACCGGGCTGACCTTGGCTGGGCTGAGAAGGTTCTGGGCTGGGCGTTGTCGAATTGGATTGAGCTTGGCTGAATTGATCTTACTTTGACTGATCTGGGCTGATCTTGGCAAGACTGATCTGCACGTCATTGGACTAGACGGTACTGCGTTTCGCTGATCTGCGCTGATCGAAGATCCAGGTAAACTTTATTGAGCTGCTCCAGACTGAACTGGACGGAGTTGGACTGGACTGAAACAAACAGGGCTGGTCTGGGATAAAGTCAGCTGGGCTGGGCTCGGTACGACGTTCACTGATCTGGTCTGACGTGGGAATCGCTAGACAGCTGCCGCCCGCAAGAGGCAGCGGCATTGCCCTGCCACTCCCGACTGGCGCGGACGGAGACGGCCTGAGCTGGGCTGAACTGGACTGGGCACGGCAGGGGTGGAGTGGGCTGGGGCGTGCTGGGCTAAGCCGGGGTGGGCTGTGGACTGGGATGGGCGGGGCTCGACTGTGATGGCTGGGCTGGACTGAAATTGATTGGGCTGCGCTGAACGGGGCTTGGGGTGGAACAGGTGGCGCGCGTGTCCTGACTCCGCAATGAGGGAGCGGCAATGGACAGGAGGAGGATCGGGAAATCTCATGGGGTCTATTCTGAGGCCGTCTTGGGGCCATCTTGTGCTCTCTTGGGGCCACTGTCGTACCTCTTGGGTCTACCTTTGGGCTTCTTGAAGTTTTTCTCGAAGGTCTGCAAGCGTGCGGGGCGGGGACATCTTGGGGCAATCTTGGAGCCAGCTTGCAGGCCATCCTTGGTCGTCCAGGGCCCTCTTCAGGACTCAGGGGCCCTCTTGGAAGCCTGGGGGGTCCATCTCAGGGCCACTTTGAGCTGAACTATCAAGGACGTACACACCGGACAAATGCAGAGCTGTTTGTGTATTTGTTCGGCTATCGGGGGCTCTCCACGGACATTCTTAGGCCACTTTAGGGGTCTGATGGGTCTTCGAGTCCTGTTGGACATCGTGACCTTCTGCTTCGTGCGTCTTGGAACCCAGCTTGAAGTGGGGACGGGGGAGACCAGGGGGGGGGGGACCAGGAGATCTGCGTATGCAAACGAGCAACGAACGACGCATGATGACGTCGAACAAAAATTAAGGAACCCGCCGCCCTGATTCTTGCCCGAGGGAGCGGGGAGGGACAAGAGGCGGAGGAGGAGGAGGAGGAGGAGGAGGAGGAGGAGGAGGAGGACGGGGACCCGGCTAAATCCATGATGCATCATTGATGGTGCAACGCGCCCTCCCCTCCCGAGTCCCCTCCCATAAGTCCCTACAGGCTTTCGTTTCCACTTTAAGCAGCGCCCATTTGAAATATTAGCATCCAATGGGCTCGTTGCCCTTCGGGCGAGAGCACCATGTTGACAAGGAGCTACATGCCTTGCAATGCGCAGAGACATACACGATCATGCAGTCCAGGGATGTGCCCAGCGAGATTTCTCCTCCTTTTGAACAAAAAGGCCGACCCGCCCGTGTAACTCTTGCAAGCGTCAACGCCTCTGGCCATGCACGTCGAGGAACTTTCAAGCGATAACCCCCATGTTGAAGAGGAGCCGTCCTCCATCCGTGCAGGTGCGCCACGTGTTTGATATTCGGGTTGTTGCAGACTTGATTAAATCCCAAGCAGATGACCAACTCTGAGAATGATCACCCCATGATCCTTGAAGATGCTGCAAGCTCTTAAGACGAGTGTGCGCGGCGCTATGGCGAGACCCCTATTTTGAAACCATCCCCCTCCATCCTCGAAGCTTGTGCACAACTCTTGAAACGCATTTGAGCGGCGCCGAGGCGACAGCTCCATTTTGAATACAGCTCCCCTCCATCCTCGAGGCTGCTGCAGACTTTTACAACACACGTGCGCGGCGCTGGGGCGAGAGCTCTATCTAACACACACTTCCCCTCTCAATCCTGGCAGCTGGTGTGCACTTCTGGTAAGAATGCGCGGCGCCAACACGAGGGAGTTCCATCATGAAGGCGGCCCGCCTTCCAGCCGTGAAGCTGCAGGTAGGCGGCCTGGACGACGCCCACAGCACCCCTCACGAGGCTCAGAGGGCCCCGAGGGATCTGAGATTGTGCGAGCAATCGGGGGCACCTTCGGCCAGCACCACCTCCTATAGCAATCCCAGAGCTGTGGCGACGCGGGGGCTCCTTCGAGGGGCCAGAGGGCGAGGGCTCCCCGGGCTGCAGGACAACCGCCGTGACCACCGCCGCTGTCCTTTTCGTTGCTCCTGGCCCGTGCGCTGCACCCCGCGCAGAGACCCCGCGGCGGCCGCCTCAGCCGTGGGAGGCGCCGGGCCAGGCAGCCGCCTGCCGCCCTAACGGGAAGCCTGGGGGAGCCGAGGAGCCGCGGGCGTCGTCGTCGTCGCCGTCGCTGTCGTCGGCGGCGGCGGCGGCGTCGTTGTCGTTTGTGTCGAGGATCGAGGCTTCCAGGAATGGGGGCCAGACACCGTTCCCCTGCCCTCCTCGGTTGCGCCGACCCCCCGAGCCGCCCCCCGCCCCTCGATCGGGCTGCCCAAATGTGGCCAGAGCAGATGGGGACGGAGGATGGCACCGCATCGACGAGGCATCGGCGAAGTTGCGATGGAGAAACTCGGGCTCTGGCTCGAGCCGATGTCGGCAACGCGGCGCGATCTGACCCCATTTACTCTAACCTTTTTTGGCTGTGGCGCAAAAAACGCCCGTGCCAAAATGTTGCTGCGATGGCGCCACCCCCGTGCCCACCATTTCAATATTGCCTTCGCGGCCGCTGTAGGAGCGAAAACGTCGGCATAATAAACGCCCACAACTCAATCGTGCAAACATACCCGCTCTCAACAGTGAAACCTGGGGACGCGGGGGCTCTCAGCGTGTAGGCGTAGGCTTCTGCGCTTGGTGGGCGGTTTTTAAGCCAACGGCGGTTTGGCCCGCTCCGGAAACCCTGCATCCAACAATGTCGACACCTCTTGCGAGGAGGGGCGTCGCTGTTCTCCGCCGCCTTTCGCCATGCTTCCGCCAGTGAGGCCACTGCCAGCCTGCATCCGCCGCCCTTAGCCGAGGCGAGGCATCAGCCCCTCGGTCCCTCGAAGGCGGGGCCCTGTCTGGAGCGCCCTGATTTGGGCGGCATGGGCCTGAACAGACGGGCGCCTCCTCGGCTGGCTTGCCGCAATGGCGCCCGAAGAGCAGGGTCGCACTCCCAGCAGGCGGGTCTCGGTGGGCTGTGCGGGGGTGCACTCGTGCGGACACCCTGCCCTGGGCACGTGGCCCGTCAGGTTTTGCATGATCCCTTGTTCCTTCCACTCGTTTCCTGCATCGCTCGCCCAGGTCTGCCCCATCGCGCGGGATTCTGCGGCTTCGGTGTGAACGCGTTCGGTATACGAACGCGCGCAGTTCATGCTGGCGCAGCCCGCTTGCTGCTTACCTTTTGGTGCACTGTCGACGCGGAGTGAAAAAAGCAGACGCCCCGCCGTGGCAAAGATCATGGCCGAATCTTTTGAAACTCGGGGCAAGGGTCTTGGCCGCTCGGAGAGCGAGCTCGGGACTCGGCTGGTCTGGAGAACTCGGGCATGTCGTAAAAGGTCAGGTCTGGTCACCAAACTCTGGTGCGAGAAAACGAAATCCGAATCGATTCAGGGCCGCAATCTGGTTTGATCCAACGCGTCTAAACACTTTGCTCATCCTATCCTTGCTCTTTCCCTCATCCCGCCCGCTTTGCTCGTCCCTGTCTCCTTATACTGGTCACCTGCAGTTCTTCACGTCTCAGAAAAGGTCTGGGCCAAGACGCATGACACGTTTTGTTCCTGTGGGAAGCGCTACTTCATGTCACAGCCCCTGCTCCAAGGCTCCCTGGAGGATATTGCTCTAACGCGGTGGGCGACCAGTCAACGAATGGACCACAATGAGGCCGTTTACCCCAGCCAGGGCTGTTGAACTTGAATGCCCTCGTTGACCTACGATTGCATGTCACGTTCTAAATCGCTCAGGGGTAAACGTCCCTGACGACAAGCAATACCATTTACGTTTCTTCTGTCGCTGCCACAAACAACGCTCCCTCATGCCCTCGCAAGAGCAGGGGGTCTTGCTTCGAAGTCCCGAGGGCCACTGTCCTTGCCTTTCTCGCATGCCCTCTTCGTGCCACCGCCGGATACAGCGTGGCTCACTTCGGCGCCGCGCCAGCAAAACAACGTGCTTCGTCAGCCTCACTGGCCGCTGCGGACTCCTGGCACGCCCCACAGGGCGCGAAACGCCGGCCTACTGCCACGCGACAGAGAAAAGGCGCCGGCAGACGATGGCGAAACTTGCGGGGCAGGCTCCTGCTGCGGCGACGTGTCCCTGATTTCTGATACCGCTCTGACCGCTCAACCCTGAACGGTCTCCGCTCTTGGAGGTCGCCGTCCTTCACACGTGTGTCGCGCCATGGGTTTTTCTCCAAGGGCCGCGGGGCCCGATATGCGCCCCCAGACGGTGCAACCTTGAACGTCAACCTTGAACGTCCGCGTCGTCGCCGGCTTCGTGGCCAGAATTCCCTGCCGTCGTCGCCTCTGTGCCACGTGGCAGCGGCCCTCCTAACCCCGCCCATGCCCGCGGCGGCCACCGTCAGGAAGCCTCTACGACGAATCCCACCAGCCCTCTGGGCGTAGCTGGTTGAGAGAGCGTCTTCTTCCAACCTCCTTCTTCCCATTCCCCTCCCCCTACCCCCTCCCCCAGGTCTGGACGGGGGGGGCGAGCGGTCAGAGCGTCTAAGATAGCCCCAGATGGCTCCAAGAGGGCCTCGGATAGCCCAGTACTGCCTCCAATTTGGCTGAGCATGACCTACAAGAGGCCCCGAGACTATTCTAAGACGGCTTCAATTGGCCGCGGGGCGCCCCAAGGAAACTTCTGAGAGGCCAACATCACTCAAACACCTAAGGTTTGTGGCTTCTCGCATTTTCGCTTTCCAGGGGCCTCCGAGGCCGCAAGATGGCTCCGTGATCACCCACAATGAGGCCGCGAAGGGCCCACGATGGCTCCCAAAGCGCCCAAGATCGCCTCACGAGCAGATCTTTCGGGCCATAGAGGGGCAGCGCTAAGTAGGCCTGAGAGGGTCCCAAGTGTGGCCCCGACATGGCCCCAAGAGGAGACCAGCGGTTCCCAAACGTGCCTCCAGAGACCGCCAGAGTGGCTCCAGCGGGCCACTAAGAGGGTCCACGAGGATTTTGAGTTTCTCATTGCTGGCCTCTCTGTGTGACTGTATGCTTATGTGCTTCCCTTCTCCCGACTGCTCGCCTGCGCATCGTTCCTGGATGGGCTGGTGGGGTCTCGCGGAGCGTCAAGACCTGCCCCAAAGAGTACTACACCATGTGATAAGACTCAAGAGGACGAAGGCCAGGTCAGGCCTCAACGACCTCTCTGGCAAACTCTCCACGATCCCCCGTGGTGGCGTGTATCGGTGTAGCTGACGTGTGCTATACTCGCTTTTAGATGTGAGCAGGTAATCGTGCGGGGGAACTGCAAATCTAGATACACACATGTATGGTAGCATGTGTGGAGCCCCGGCAGTGTAGTCTAGCATGCCAGGTTATGCGATATATGATCGCGGGCTCCGGGTCCTCGGGCCCCCCCCCCCCAGATGGGATGAGTCCCAGGGTCCTCGGGCCCCCCCTCCCAGATGGGATGGGGGGGGGAGGAGGAGGAGAGGAGGAAGGAGGAGGAGGAGGAGGAGGAGGAGGAGGAGGAGGACGACGGCAATGACGGCAACGACGACAACGACGACGACGAAGACGACGACGACACCGACAACGACGACGACGACAACGACGATGACGTCGACGGCACCACCAGCAGCGGCGGCGACGACGTCGAGCACCGGGCCGCACCCACACCGTACTTACAGGAGGGGCGGGAGGGGGGGAGGAGGACCATGGCGTCACCCCGCACACACTCCCACAGCAACACACCACACCCACACCACATCCACAGGGGGGGGTGGGGGGAGCCACCACGCCACGCCCACGCCCACAGGGGAGGAGGGGGGGGGCATCGCGCGGGGGGGGGGGGGGCCGATGGCATTAGCATTGGGTGAGGGGGGGGGGGGCCACAACCCTCGACCATATATAGGTGGTACAAGCTTCGTGGTGCAAGCTGCCAATCTACGTGGTGCAAGCTGCGTGCTGTAAGCGATGTGGTGCATGCTATGTGGTGCAATCTCTGTGGTGCAATCTATGTGGTACAAGCTTACGTGCTGATCACTGTGGTGTAAGCTATGTGGTGCCGTCTAAGTGGTGCGATCTATGGGGTGTGAGCTATATAATGCGACATGCGGTGCAATACATGTGGTGCCGGTATACGTGGCGTAAGCTATGTGATGCAACCTATGTGGTGTAGGCAATGCAATGCGCTGCCATACGACGCAAGGGAAAGCAATGCACGACAGTAGAAACATTGCACCACCACTGCCAAACAAGGCAGCACAGTGCAGAGCAAGCGCTGCAGCGCAAGGCATGGCAATGCGAAGCGGTCCAAGCCAAGGTAGCACAGCGCATTGCAATGCGATTGCACAGCACTGCGGTTGCAATGTCACGGCGCCAAACAATGCAGCGCAATGCAACGCAATGCCAAACAATGCAGCGCAGTACAAATCAATGCGAAGCACTGCAATGCGGGCGGCGACGATGCGGCGGCCGGCGACGGGGCGGCCGCACGACAGCGGGAGCGGCCCGCAGGCCGAAGCGACGGGCGGCGACGATGCCGCGACGGCGGCCAGCTGGCGGCCATAACAACCCGCAAATTCTGGCGACGGGCGGCGACGAGGCGGCGACGGCGGCCCGCAGACCCAACTCCTTAAAGCCGGAAGAAGATCCCAAAAGTGCAAGCACTGTTTGGGGATCGGGTTTATGCACATATGTTTCTGCACCCGTGCACGATCAACATAGAGACGGTATGTTTATATATACGCATAATTGTGTAATGTACAAATACTACATCTAGACGTAGGGGGACATGACGAGAGAGAGAGAGAGAGAGCGAATGAGAGAAAGAAGTGGGGGAGAGAGAGCGAGAGCGAGAGACAGAGATAGGGATGAGAGATAGCGAGAGAGAGAGAGAGACAGGATGAAACATATGAATGTATATATATATATATATATGTATATATCGAGAGAGATAACACAACGAGACAGAGAGATATAGAGAGAGCGAGAGAGAGAACGAGAGAGATATCAAGAGAGACAGAGACGAGGAAGAGAGAAAGAGAGAGAGAGAGACAGAGAGAGACAGAGAAGAGAGAGAGAGAGAGGAACGATATGGGGAGTGTGTGTGTGTGGTAGGAAAAGGGAGGACATCCTTGACACGCTATCCACGATGCCTCCCACCATCACTCACCGTTAGCTGAAGAACCCGTGTGACAAGATCAGGGCGTTCGCGCGTGAGAAATCTTTGTTGCTCAAATGGCATCCTGTTGAAACGTCATCCTGTGTCTTCCTCTAGTCCACTGCCCCCCGTTCTATGGCCCTCGTACTAATCTCTCGCCAGAAACCCTCGATCAATTTCAGCAAGAGGCTTTCGTTTTGAAAACGGTCCAAAAACCTACGCTGGGAAACAACTCTTCTGGACCCGACAAAATCGACGTTCCATACCGTGTGCTGGCCCTCTCCTCTTTCCCCAGTGCCGCTCTAACCTCCAACCGTACTACAATCTTTGACTCATTCCTTTTCACCCTGTTGTGCAGGCACCGCGATGCGTCTCAAACTGCTTGGAGGACGCCGCAGACACTGTCAACTCTTCCAGGGTCGCCACCACGGGGTACCTCAGCGAAGGAAGGCGCCCCATACAAAGATTGCATCACAATCCCGCAGATCGAAATAATGGCGCACTCGCTCTTATCCACGCTTCCGAGTGTGCTTTTTGTCTCTCTGATTTCGCTGTTCCCATTTCTTGCCAAATTGTGTCAGCATGCCTATCACTGCTGGATGTGTCACCGAAACCTCCATTGAGCTGTCGTTGTCATTGCTGGGCCCCGTCGTGTGAAAGTGCTCGTCATGCTGTCACTGCTGCACTCGCGTTGCTGCTTTTACTGCTCGCGCTCGCAATTGAAGGACAGCCTGATGGCCCTAGTTGCAACTCAGAACGAGTTCTCCTCCTGATCGCTCCTTCTGCTCTTGTTGCTGCCAAGTGTGATCCTCATCTTCCCTCCTTTGAACGCGCAGAGCAGCTGTCAACGATGAAGGGTCAGCCGATTGGTGCAAGCGAATAAGCCTTGCGACCACGAGATCGAACACTTGATCGGCATGCGCGGTCGTGCTGAATGAGCGAGGGCTGGATGTTGGCTCCGCTAGCGGGATCGCGAGGCAACGTCCCAATGATCCCAATTACCCTCATGGCAATCACACCAAGGTCTCCTATATCGGGCGCCCGCTGCGGCCAGGGCCGAGCAAGCTGTCTGAGGGCGGGGCTGCCAGGTGGAGTCTTAGAGCCGCTGTGTATCTCCCTCCCTCGGAGGAACTTCCTACCGTACCGTGCCCCAATCACGAAAACTCAGTACCAATGACATGGGCAATTCCACCTGTCAATGTAAGTGCATGTCTTAGGTGGCACAATGATTGTGGACCAGTTTAGTGCCAAGGCTGTCAGATGCCACCCAGGCTTTCTGCAGCCAAAGACAGCCTCAAAGATCCTCCAGGAGGCTTTCCAATCACAAGGACCAACAACACCGAGGTTCATACACGTACCTGAGTATACATGTGTATACACAGATACAGGCAAAGGCACGTTGCACACACACATATATATATATATATATATGTAGATTCGCCCCCTGTCACCATGCATCTCTCATTCATTCTCTGCGAATTCGGCTGCTTCCCCCTCGTCCTCCGTTGCTTCTTTCCTGGTCCTCGTCCTCCTGCGTGATCATCAGTGTGTGCTCCGCCTCTTCCCCCTCCTCGCCTCCTCCTCCTCATCCTTCTCCTCCTCCTTCTGATCGGGCGATGCCCGAATCCAGCCTAACTGTGCCAAACCTTTTGGTTGGTGTTGATTGGTGTGTATGTCTGTGTTTTGTCTCTTGTCTAGAGTCTCACCAAATCTTGCCATACACATTTTCTCGGTTTCCAAGAGGTCCACGCATTTTGACCAGGAGCGCTTGTGGCACGAACATGCCCGCCAAACCACACATAACCACATCTTTGTTCCCGGGCTCTTGGTCGGGGGAACCGCAACATATTATTTTTTTGTTTACTTGCATTTGTGCTTTTTGGTTCGGGAGGTCCACGTGGGTTAGCATAGCCAACATATGAAGACCCCTTGAACACCAACACACAACACAACATGTGTATAGTATGGTTTGGCGGTATACCCGACCAGAATACCAAACCAATCTGTGTATAGTAGGGTTTGGTGGACATGCTCCTCCCGCACGCCTGCCTGGTAAAGTTTGCGGGCCTCCTACGAAACCCAACATCAAAGACACATGTGTTTAGTACGGTTGAATGGTGCCCCAGATCCAACAACCAAAACATCATGTACATAGCAGTGTTTGGCGGTATTCGGACATCGCCAGATCAGGGGGAGGATGCGCTCCCATTGCTCCAACTAATCATCATCGCCTTCCCCATACCACCCATCCTCCTCACGGCACTCCTCCTCCTCCTCCTCCTCGTCCTCCTCCTCCTCCTCCTCCTCCTCCCGTCTCGGAGATAGGGGGAGGAGGAGAAGGAGGGGGAGGAAAGCTGTGAGGAAGGGGAGCGGCTGGAACAAGATGGCGGGGAGAAGGAAGATAGGCTACTCCTCACCATGAGTATCTGTTTCCTCCTCCTCCTCCTCCTCCTCCCCCTCCGTCTCCTCATCTGCCTCCTCCCCCGCCTCGCATTTGTCCGCATCATTCTCGTCTTCCTCCTCCTGTTCACCATCCTGCGCCCCTTCGTCCTACTTGTCAATTGTTGATCCTCATACCATTCCTCCTGACTGTCATCGTTCCCCTTATCCTCATTGTTGCCGTCGCCGTCATCATCATCATCATCATCATCATCATCATCATCATCATCATCATCATCATCATCATCATCATCATCATCATCATCATCATCATCATCAGCATCATCATCATCACCATACTCATCCCGTTCGTCCACCTCATCTGTCCATCCTCGTCTTTCCCAAATCAATCTCGCTCCCCCTATCACTTCACACCCTCCTTCCATATGGGAGATGGGAAGGTGGATGCGAAGGCTGCGGACGAGTGGTAGGATGAGGGGAAGGAGGAGGCGGAGGAGGAGGAGGAGGAGGAGGATGACGAAGAGGAATATGCAAATAAACCGCATGAGCGCGAGGAAACGGAGAGATACATGGGGTTATCCTGATCATGCCCTCATGCTCCTCATCGTATACATTATCCTCTCCATTGCCCCTTCCCCTCCTCGTCACCTCCCACTGCTCCTCATTCTACTGCCACTCCTTTTCCTTCTCATTCTCCTCATCCTGCTCCTCATTACCCCCCGTCGTATCCCTATCATCCTCCTCTGTCTCCTCCTGTAGGAGAGGTATGAGAGGAGGGGCTGGGGGTAGGTATACTGGGATAGATGGGGGGAAGATGCGGAGGATGACGAGGTGGAGGAGGACGGGGATGATGATGGATCACGCCTCCTCCTCCTCCTCTTCTTCCTCCTCCTCCTCCTCCCCCTATGGGGGACACACGGGAAGCATGAAGAAGTGGATGGGGTGCAGGAGCGATACAAGGAGGATGGCGATGAGGATGATCGATGGGACTAACAATGAGAGGAACCACTCTAAACCCTTCTCCTCCCCAAACACCTTCTCGCCTCCCTCATATCACTCCCGCTCCTCCTCCTTCCATTGGGGAGGTAGGAGGGTGAGGGATGGTTTAAGCATGATTATGCGGAAGCATACGGCTAGTTAGCACTCAACATCATTATCATGTTCCTCCTCCACCTCCTTCTCCCCGTCCTTCTCCTCCACATCATCCTGTTCATCCTAAAAGCTGCCCGCCTCCTTCCAAGTGGTGGGAACGAAGCCCTCTTCAAATCGACTGGACAGGTGCTCTTTTGCAATGGGGCTGCATTCCGACAAATGTGCACGACGCTCCATTGCAATCGACTGGCATGGAACTCTGTTCCTGCTGGTGGGAGATAGCCCCATTCCAATCGATCGGAATGAAGCTCCGCGAACCCCCATCTGAACCGATTGCAATTGAATTCAGTCCCGCCTTATCGAACCAGGGCTCCATTCCAACCGATCCTCCTCCTCCTCCTCCTCTTCCTCCTCCTGTCGATCCTGTCGATCCTTGCGCAGCCAAGCTCCTCCAGGCGAGAACACTGGGCGGCGGGCGACGGCGAGCGACGCAAAAAACGAGGCCAGGGCCAGCAGGCGGGCGACCGCGCCGCTAGGGCCCCGACCGATGGAGGGGCACAGGCCGACCCGCGAAGGATTTGGTGGACGGATCCTTCCCCTCCTTCAGCTGCTTTAGGGTCTTCTCCGCTGGCTTGTTGGGAGGCGCGCCAGGGCACGGGCATCCCAACAAACGCAGCTTGACCGACCCGAATGCAGCGCGCGAATTACACCACACGACACGGCCGCCACTAATCCAGAGCTTATGGCTGGCATGGGCGAGCCTGGCCAGCCTGGGGAGGCCAGAGCACGGCAGTGCGCGCACTGACGATTCTGAAAATCCCGAGGCGCCACAGTTTACACATCGGTAGGCCCCTTTCCCCTTTGTGCCCGTCCTGTGGACAGCGTGCCCTTTGAAATCACAGACCAAAACTAAAGGGTCATGCTTGGGGCGGGGAGGGGCCTTGCATTTCTGGACGCCGGGGAAATTCTTCTTACTGAGCATCTCCCCGAAACGCGCTATAAACCTACTGAAGTCTGCTACCTCCGAACTTCTTTGTCTCTGGAGGGCGCGGGGGCGAGGATTGCAAGGGTGCTCCTGGGCTCCACGCTTAGCAAGACCGTCAGCAATGCCATTGCCGACCCAGGCCCAATGAGGGGCCTCCGAGGTCTCAAGACATCTACTCCAGGAAATGTGACTCCTAATTTTGCGCAAGCAAATCAGGTCTTGTCCTGCATCCAGAACGCGATCCCATACAAGTTCCCAGACCTCCGAGCACGCCACCTCTGACAAGTCCGACTCGGGCCCGCGGGCCCAAACGTCCAAGACGGCCTGGCAATCTGTGTAGATCTGGGTGCACTGCTGGGGCCCAATGAGCTTGAGGGCCATCAGTAAAGCATATAGTTCACCTGCACCTGATTCCTGGACAGGATGAGGAAGGGGTCCAAAAGCACTGCCCTCGACACGACAGCTCTGATCCATGGCCACCACTGCCCAACCTGCACGAGCCGCATACATGGAGGTCGTATCAAAGCCTGAGCCGTCGATGCATATCCTGCCGCCTAGGAAACCTGCTTCTGGCACTTTTTCCCACCGCCAAACCTCGGCTGTGGAAACCTGAGGCCAGTCGTATCCTGGGTCCGCAATGAGCGCTCTCGTCGACAAGAAATCGTAGGCACCCAGCTGCAAACCTCTGTCCACGCACTGCGGCAGGTCTAAATCCCGCCTGAGCAGAAGAAAACCATCACACTGGTATAAACGATGCTGTGGCGTGCCGTCATACATGCCGCAGACCCTGCACAGCGGTGTGACGGCTCGCCTGTCCTGGAACAAAACTTCCTGAGTGGGATGACCTCCTGCGACTACGTTACACACAGGAGGCTGCTGCGTTTCTCCCCGCTTTCCTGAGGCCTCTTAGGGTATCCACGATGGGCCCCAGGAGGGGGGGAACCACACGCGCAGGATCATCGGGATCAGGGGCCCCAACATGCTCCAAGAGCCTCATATGTGTACTGTAGTCTATCAACTTAGTCAGGGTGCGCTTCCCGAAGTGGTTGAGGTCCAGTAAGAAACCACGGCAAGACTCCCAAGTGTCCCAAGCTGTAAACCTCCAGCCCAGACGATCCAAGGTAGCCCAAACAGCTCCAGCAGGCCCCCGAACCTTGTCCCATGTCCTGGTAGCAACCGTAGGGTAGGCCTGCGCGCAGGCCCTCATGATGTGCTCGGGGGCCCATTTCTGTTTCACAGCCTGTTGCCACATCTTGAGCGGCAGGAGGTTGGCCTGGAACACAGGGTCCATGCCCTTGGTAGGGCCCAACAAAAACTGCAGAGTCCTGGAACGGCCCCGTCCTTTGCCGAACGATGCCTGACCTATGATAGAGCGGAGCTTCATGACCGTCGAGGTGTTCATGCCTATGACCGATGTGCCGTAAACAGCTGCTGGCAATCCACCTGTCTTCACGACCTTGCACAAGCCCGAATAGCCCGAGCGAAGGCCCCTAAATCGGCGAACTCGGGGCCCCAAACTCTCCCATCTTGATCCCTGGACTGGAGTTCGGCGCCGACCTGCAGTGTAGTCAACCCCTAGGTTACGAGCCGTCTTGGCCACCTGGAATTTCCAACGCAA